CAATTGCTTATAATACAAGGATGACACTGATTGTGAATCCAAAAAAAAAACAGAGAGAGAGAGGAATGTGATGAAATGATTATAGATGGTGTAAGATTATGTGATACTTTTTTGTTTTAAATTTTATTTAATCAATTTTATATATGAATTTATTTTTATTATCATTTAATTAAATAAAAAATTAATTTTTGTGAACAAATCATTAAACACAACTATGTCGAAGATCCGAGTTGCAAGGCCAAACATTTTGGTCTATATCTAACTCTTAATTTTTTAATTTTCATCTTTATTAATCATTAATAACTTTTTATTTATTTATTAACATACATAGTTCTCAATTTATTTTATTAGATGTGTACATAATTTTTTTTTGATATTTTCTTTTAATTTTTTATATAAAAGAATGCGTTGAAAAAGCCCACGTATTTATTTTTTTAGAAAAATAAAATTCGACCCGTAGCGAAGCATATGTCAAATAGCTAGTATATCCTATAGCTAGTATATTCTAAAGCTAGTGGTAGAAGTCATAAATTTAAAAATTTTAAAGACTTCAATAATAACTCTTGTGATTTAGGATGGTTATAGAGTAGTGCACTTTATAGATGATTTGAGCCCGGATCAAAAAATTATTCAATCAATTGGTCAAATCAGCGAGTTGTTGTCCGGTCACGTTGTTAAGACACAACCAATATAGCAAGACCATACAGATACTACTTGGTTAAGTTGTTAGTCATAAGCCTGGACAAACATGGGTGACCAATTGTTTTCTAGTTAAGTTCTTGGGCTAGAGGCCTAAAAAACCGATTGCACTAAGAAAGTCATTTATTGGTGTTACAACGACAATATGCTTGCCAAATAGATTTTTCTCCTTTGCTTGAATTCAGTCATTGATTTTTCAACAACTATTCAATTCAGTCTCCAAATTAGCCTAACTAAAAAGCATGGAAGGAATAATCAAATTAGTTCTTTAATTTTTCAATTCAGCCCTAAATTAACCTTAGTTAGACAACATGTAAGGAATTGAAATAGAGAAGAAAAATAGAGAGAAAACATACAATATAATGCACGTGCTTACACGCCATAATAACTTACCAATACTATAACCCTATACCATAACAACACTTATTTTTCTCACAAATTGATAAAGGGATGCTTACATGAACAACTTATTTTATCTATATGGTAAAGGTAGTTATTCTTCATGGTTACTTGACACTATATATATGTGACTTCACACTTCACGAGGTAATTTCATGTGATTTGAGATGTATAAATACCTTAGATTACCAAGTAACCACACAAATAACAATACAAAACCACACACAATAATAATAACATTCACTCTCTTATGTTCTTGTTTTCTCTATTATACATTATTTTTTATTACGTATCTACTAACTTAGACATCAGATGGTCCCTTATCCTAATAAAACACTTGTTTTGTAGGAGTTATTATGCTACTAGCCCAGCTCAACTTGGAAAAACAAAATCTCCAGAACCTATTATACTAGTTATGAAAAGGCCTAAATTCATTTTGAAGTTTTTTAAACTTCGTCACTTTGTATAGCAATTTTATAGCACAAGTTACATCATGATTAAACATATTAAAAAGAAAGTAAAAGCTCTTTTACTCAAAGAGTGAAACGAATAAAGTACATAACTTATAATCCTAGAACTTTTAAAAGAAAAACTAATAGCTGACTTTTATTTAATTTTTTATTCATTAAAATTAAAACTTCAAATGTTCATTGGGTTAGAAAAATAATGAATTCCAAAGGATTTATTGAGAGAAGAGGCAGATATTTAAATGTTATATATATACATCTAATTAGTAATAATCAATACAAAGGTCATCATTTTGTTATTGTATCATCACATATTCACAATGAGTTATTCTAAAATTTAAGAATACTATAAATATTTAATGTTATATATTACTTATAACTCTAAAAGAACCAGGGTTCATTATGGTACTTTACTCTTCATATGAATAGTGAAGCACTATAAGTTTTTTTTATTTTTTTCTTACATCCTTTAACGATCAAATTAGATGGAATTGATATTGAAATTATGGTATAAATACTAGATCAAAAAGGAGCCTAAAATGTAATATATTGAGAAAAATAGCTTTGACCCTACATTTTGATCAATGTTTATTTTGATCTAGAATTTTATTTTATTTGTCTCTAGGTTCCTAAACAAGAAAGAGAATCCATCACTGTAAAATAGTTGTAGAAAGAGAGATTGATTTGTCATGATTCTAGTTAAAAATGATCAAGTTTAATGCCTAATTGTTTCATTTAACTACGGGAGTTGGATGCTTTTTGTTATTGGCATTTAAATTTATTAAAAAATAGATTACGTTTAATTATTACTTAAAAATGCATTTTTATCAAGATTTTATATCATCATTTTGCACTTCAAGTATCAAAAACTCCTTAGTTATAGCATGTTTTATAATAACATATCCAATAATATAAGATACCTTTAATTTATGGTAAATATTCATCTTAAATGCAGGCCTGTTATCTAAATCAAGGGATTGATTGATGAGTTTAACTACTAAAGTTGAGAAGAAAAGAAGAAGGCTAAGATTAGAAAAGAGATGTTGATTGAGTCCAAACTAGAACACCATTCGATTATTGGATTATAAGTGGAGTTGTAGAACTTGGATTTTTGCTTGCTCTATATGGATGGAAAGATAAGACATAGGCCTAAAACTTTCATTAAGAGTCTAAGATTCAAAAATACTATTTTTAAGTTCATATTGTAACAATAATGGAGAAGTCGAAATATGTTCTGCAACCCAAATATTGTTCAGTTTTCAACCCATATCTAAGTTCTAGAAGTTCAAATGACCTCATTGTTTTTTTTTTAAAAAAGCTGAGATAATTTTCTAGAACTTTAATGATATAATCTATTCAAATTATAGAATTAGCAATGATGTTTTGTTCAGACAAGAAGATAAGGATTGTCACCAAGTCAAGATGTGGCCACCCACTCAATAATTTATCAACAAATCAATAGTTTCAAATTTTAGCCTATAAAAAAAGATATTTTTCATGCATTTAAGCATCTTGATTTTCAGATCAAGATTATGTTCTTGCTCTCTTTCTTTATATTTTTGTAATGCTTAAGTTTTACTTTTATTAATCTCTTGTTTATACTTTTCATCATAACTATGTTCTTATCTAATTTATTTATGTTTCTTTTCTTTATAATGTTTAGCTAAGTTTATTATGTTAAGGTGAAAAAGTTACACTAATGATGTAAGAATAAGTATAATATAAATTCAATATGAACTTCAATACTTATATCCTAGACAACTTACTATTAGCATGTCTTATTATTTTTATATTATTAATTCTCAATACCTTCCTTGTTAAATGGTTAATCTAGATTTGTGTTATATAACACTCGGTACAACAAAAGTTTGGCACTTTCATAGCCCAACCATATAATATAACATCTATGCTGTGAAAGGAATTTGATTTGTTGTTAATATAAGTTAGCAACATGAATTTCTGACAATATTTAAAATTTTGGTATTACTTAAATAAGATAATTAATATGATCATATTAATAATTTATAATGAACTTTTAATGAAAAATTATCTGATTGGAACCTTCTTTATATGTGGTTTCTAGTTGAGTATAAAAGGAGTTTATACTAGTTTGAAATATCATTAGTGGATCCTTTAACCTTAATATTTTTTTTATTATTTAATCTTCACATTAATCTTACATCTCAAAGTCCTCTTTAACTTATTATTGTTTATAATTTATATAATTAATCTTCATATGGTTTGATTCTAGTCTTACCGGGTTATTTATTACTTCAACACTCCTATATTTAAGAAAAGATATAAATTTTTTGGCCATGTTAATGCCTTTGAAAGATTGGAATTGTGGATCGATTCTTTATTTTGTGATTGATTATAAGTAGCTTTAAGGATATAAGTGGGTTTAGTGAATTTGGGTGTGATAATTTTCATGTGTTTACCAGTTAAATATTTGTTGTAAAATAGGTTGTTTACTTCAAAAACTAAAAAAGAAATTCTACTTAGTTTTTGGATTGTGAATGCTCGAATTGGACCGTTGTATTAGTTTCAATGATAATATCAAAAAGTTTCAAATGTGCTAGATATACATTTGCTAACTAAATTAATTTAATTCCCTAACACAACCATACAAATGAAATCCCAGTCGCAGTCTTTTTTTATTTATTTATAGTCGCAGCCAATATTATTTTATTTTATTCGTTTTTTCCGTTACTTGAGAAACATTTTCATAGCTGGAGTCCGTACCATTGACCTAAAGGAGTGGGCGATTGACTTACTTGCATTCTCATCATCTAGAAGAAAACTAAAAAATATTGAGCTTAAGATTTGGATTCTAGAAAGGTGAGTCTTGGAGCCCAAGGTGCATGCACTCTCAACTTGGGCTAACGTAATACGTATACGGTATTTGGCGGGAAATTTTCGGGGAATAGGAGGGAACGCCACGTGTACTTGTGCCATTCAATATAATACTTACTCAGGAAGCTTTCTTGGGGCCCACAACAAATTTGAGAAGGCAGAGCTTATTTCCTCTATTTATTATTTGAGTATTCAGTATTCGGTATTCACAACTGCGTCATACTCAAGCATTCCTCATAACCAAGACCTATATCTCGATAGGTAGACGGAAAAAAAATAACTTTAAAAAGCGCAGAGCGTTTCTGGGGAGTGAAACAGAGAGAGAGCAGAGTGAGAAAGGACTCCACTCAAGGAGGGTCTACAGATTGAGATGAAGCTGAATTCAGGCGAGATCGGAACCAAGACAGAAGCATGGTTCAAACCCAAGAAAGGGAGCGTCTTTCCCAAGGAGAAGAGGTCAGTAAAGAGAATGATGTTTGATAAATTGTTTCAATGTGCTGGCTCTGTTTGCTCTTCCTGTTTCTTTTCGTCCCGGCATGGAGCCAGCTCCCATCAAGAGAACGAGGGTTTATGCTGCAGAAAGATCATTCCGCCCACAAAAGTATCGAATGCAGACTGGGTTTGATGACCTCTCGGTTGATTTGTTGTAGTTTTTTATACATTTCGCCCACAAAAGTATCGAATGCAGACTGGGTTTGATGACCTCTCGGTTGATTTGTTGCAGTTTTTTATACATTTAGCCCACAAAAGTATCGAATGCAGACTGGGTTTGATGACCTCTCGGTTGATTTGTTGTAGTTTTTGATACTTTCAAATCTATTGCTCAGAACATAATTAGGAGCTTAAATGCCATAGATATCTGTGTTTTATTTTAGATTGGCTATTAATTAATTGTCAGTGGTGTACTTTTCTCAGTCATAAACACATGTTTATTCATTTCTTTGATTAATGTGGGTTTATTCTCATTTATGATGTTGTGTGCATTAATTGCTTGTTATTGCCATCAATAACCAATCCATCAACAGGGGAAAACTATTTCCACTTCAATCCTCCGGCGAAACCCAGTTTCAAGCAGCCGTATATTTACCAACGCCACACCAGGCACAGCGCAAAGCCCATCCATGGGGGGGGGGGGGGGGGGGGAAGAAAGAATTCCCACCAAAATTTGAGTATTTTCAAAATCCCAGAAACCCAAGTTCATAAAACTGAATGAAATCCTGAAAGTATTTCTGGGGAATTGAAACCAGGTATTAGACCGGATGTATCACTGGACCGGGTTCAAAAACACTGTAACTCTGTCTGCAAGTGCCGCAATTTTAGGTATATAATGAAAAAAAAAAACAGAAAAAAAAAAATTCTGATTGTAGAAGTAAATGAGGGCATAATTGAGCTTCGGTAAGAGTGCAAACTTGATGACAGTCCTTCGAGTAGGAAAATTTATTTCGGAGGGCCCCAGGGGATATAGTAATATGCAGCCGGCCGTGACAATGGATCTTTCATGAGTTCGATATTATCCTCTCGATTTACTTTTATAATAAACGATGAAAAGTATTAATTAACAAAAACTAATTAAGGTCGGAGAATACTGTAGTAATGAACAGTGTTTTCCCTCATTTTTTCCTGGGCACATGTTAGTGATTGGCAAATTGATTACAGGAATAAATATGACTTTTGACTTCCATAGTTAAATGATTTAATTAATTTTATAACAAAAAAAATTAACTTGTACCCTAATATTTTAGATATTTTCATTTTTTAAGCATATTTAAATTACTCTTCTATCCTAAAAAAAATAAAAATAAAGCTTCTATTTTAGGGTTTTTCTGTCTTTTTATTTTAGTATTTTTATTATAATTAAATTGGTTTAGGGCAATTTAGTTTTTAATAAATATCAAATATTAATAAAAAGAAAGAAAGTTAGTCAAAGTATGTGAGTTTCCTATTATTTATATTACATATCCAATTTAGTTATTATTTTTTTTATTATTTATTTTGTTTTTTAATCTTTTTTTTGATTGATTTAAAAAAAAAAATTCATCTCTTAGGTTTTAATTGATTTTTATTAAATTTGATTCTTATTCTTTTCATATTCTTAAATCCTTATACCAATTAAAGTTTTTTTTTTTTAATTTCATCCCTTATAATTTGATTTTAATTTTTTTAATGTTGAATTTTACCCTAATTTTTTATTTGTTTTGGATCCTTCTTTTATTGCATTTGTTTTTTTAGATTTAATCTCTTGATATTTTTTTTTATTAAGCCACGAGCTTTGAAAGTTAATATGGGTTGACTTTAGTTTTTTTATGTTTTTTTATAAAAATATATTTTTTAATTTTATTTTTCAATATTTGATTTTTATGGATTTGATCTTCATGTTTTTGTTTTATTTTGTTTTTTATAGGATTATCCAAATATTAAACACATGGTAGCAATGTTGACAGGTTAACTCTTTTTATTTTGATTACTTTTTAGATATTTTTCAGTTTCATACCATAATATTTTTTATTGGAAATTTTTCTTTGTTATTTTTTTAGGTTTTTCTTCTATGTGATTATCCTCAACCTCATGACCATAATCATGAGTTTTAAAGGTTAACACTACTTAATTTTGGTCTTTTTTATATCTTTTTTAAATAAAAATTAATTTCATTATTCAACATTTATTTTTTAGGAGTTTGTCTTTGTGTTTTTTTTTTAATTTTATTTCTATGAGGGTATCCTAATCTTATTTTCAAGGTCGAAGGGTTAGCTTCTCTTTTCTTTTCTTTTTTTGGTTTTCCTTCATCGTGGTTATCCCTAGTATTATGACCACAATCATGAGTTTTAAATATTAACGCTAGTTAACTTTGATCTTTTTTATGTTTTTTTTAAATTAATTTCATCATTTAACATTTATTTTTTAGGAGTTTGTCTTTGTGCTTCTTTTTAATCTTATTTCTATGGGGTTATCTTAATATTATTCTTAAAATCAAGTGGTTAATAAGTTAACCATGGTTTACTTTGTTATTTTGTTTTCCCTTGGTTTCTTGTAGAAGTTTCACACCTTGACATTTTTATTATTATTTTGTTTTCCCTTAGTTTCTTGTAGAAGTTTCATGCCTTGACATTTTTTTTTTAGAGTTTTCCTTCGTTGTTGTTTTGGGGTTAACTTTATAGCGTTAAATCTTGGTTTTATGATTAAAGTTACAAAGTTGATGGGTCAACATAAGTTGACCCAATTTTATTTATTTTTTTGTTTTTTTAATTATATTTTTTAGCGTAATCATTCAAGATCGGTTTGTTTTATAGTTGACTTTCATGGTTTAATTTAGTTCATTTTCATTTGTAATTTTTTTTACTTTTTATTTGTATAGATAATCGTTTGATTATATTAAAAAATATATTCTATGAAACATAGTTATTAAACACATTTTAGTACATGACATGTGTTACGAATACTTTTTCAATTTCATCTTTCTATTTTAATTTTTTTAATTTTTTTTTCACTTTTCTTTTTATAAAATTATTTGAATTCTATGTCCATGGTTATGAGGTTAGTATGTCTACGCATGTTGATTCAAGTTTTTTTTTTTCTTGTTTTTTTTAAATAATTTTTTTTTCCAGTTTCAATGTTCAACATTGGATTACGACTTTTTTTTTTTTTACCTTTTATTGGTGCAAATGGTTGTTTTTCTAAATAAAGATAATATTTCAGGAAACATAGTTGTTAAATACAACTAAGTATATAACCCGTGTTACGAGATCAAATATTTTAATTTTAGTTATCTCTTAATCAAATATTAATTTAATTAATTAAATGTGTATAAAAAATTTGATTTGTGATTGATAATTTTTTATATATCTAAAATTACATAAAAAGCCTATATATTTAACTAGAGAGACATAACATGCACACATCAAATACTTACACATTCTCTAATCACAATAGAGCTTATAAAATGACGTCATACCATGTTCATATATATAAATGACCCTCGTGATGTTATCCTCTCCACTCAACAAGAAAATATCAACCTTATTTCCATGCAAATTATTATGGCTCATAGCTATATAAAAATTAATGAATCAACAAGAAAAGGGTTTCAATCTATTAGTTTGCATCTCTTACAACTTATTTACTAACATGCATATATAGCCTCAGTTATTCAGAGACCACAGTTCCCTAATAATCATGTTTTTCTTATAATCTAGGTCACCAAAGAATCACACCCTATTAAAAACATCTATGATAAATTGTGAAGCATGGTCTCTATCAAAAAAGAAAAAAAGCTTATATGTTAAATAATTATACGGACTAGCTAGGTAGATTTCTTCATATAACTCTTTAGCTTGACTAAGAGAACACCTCTACTCGGGTATAATGTAATCTTTGTAAAACATTTATCTTGCGATATTTTATCCTTATGACTTGAAGATAACACCTTTATCGAGGTATAATGTGATCTTTATAAAATGTGATCAGACAATATTATCTTTATATGACTCTCTAATCTAAGAGAGACAACACCTCTACCTAGGTATAACATGATATCTATAAAACAAGTACCATGATGTATATTCTTTATATAACTCTCTAACCTTAATGAGAGAACTTATTTGCTAGAGTATAATGTAATTGTCATAAAATCTCTGTTATTATATTTTCTCCATGTAACTCTTCAAACTCGGTAAAAGATAAATTTTTAAGTACAAAGACATTTTTTTAACATGGGTAGAAGGCATAACTTTGTTTATGGGCAAAGCATTCTCCACATAAGTGCAAAGTATAATTTTATCGGGACACAAAAATAACCTAGAAAGTATTTTATCTAACTCTCAAATTTAAATGAGAGAACATCTCTGTCCATTTACAGTTTAATCTCCATAAAATATTCATCTAACTCTTCAACTCATGTAAAAAACATAACTTTGGTTAGGGGCAGACCATTATCCATTTAGGTGTAAAGTGCAAATTTGCTAAGATACAAAGATAGTTTATGAGGTAATTTTTTCATATAACTCCTTAACCTATGTAGAAGACATATCTTTCTTTTAGTATAAAATTATTTATGTAACCCTAGAAAAAGGAAGAACTTTGTCCAAATACAAAGCATTCCAACCCAGGTGTAAAGCATTTTTTTTTTTTTTTCAGATATAAAGATAACCTCCAGCTCAGGTACAAAGTGGATTTCCATGTATTACTTTTCATGAAATTGGCTTCATACAATATTCATTAGAGACTTTACAAGTGGTTCTCTATAAGTTGTAGAAAAAAACTCTCAAACTTGAGCAAGATTTGCCCGTGTATAACATGATTTTCATAAGACATGCACCATATGTTTCTTCATATAACTCCAACCTAGGTTAGAGAACACTTTTACCTACATATAAAGGTTTTCATGACATTTCTCTCCTCGGGTACTATACAAACTCTATTAAGATACATGAATGACTTGGCCCTAACTCAAACCTTTCTTAATTCCAGATACAAGATATACCTTTGCAATGGTACTAAATATTTTTGACCTTGAACAAAAAAGGTCCCCTTAAAATATATCTACTGAAATACAATATAATCCTCATTCAAATATCTATTTTGTTATAAAATTATATTAGCTAGAACTCAATGGCATTCTTCAACTACAATACAAGGAATAACTTTGTCCAAATACAAAAAGTTTCTCCATGATATATATATAAGACTGCTTCTCCATGTGCAATCTCTATGCATAATATTCATGTGTAATCTTCATGAAAATTTACATGAAAAATCACCAAGTCTAATCTCCATAAAACTTGCTCCATATAATCTTTGTGAAATATTCATCATGATATTTTCTCCACTAAATAATTCATGTTAAACAATAAAGGATACTACATGTTCTATATTCTCCATTCAAGCAAAAACAATAACTAACTTTCATACAATGGTTTCTAAAAAAAATTTGAAAAGATAACGTGACTTATCC